AATTCATCTGAGCATTCAGAGATTTTTAATATCATCCTTTTCTGGCTAAACAGGCATAATGTTTCATTATTTTCCCACATTGCAGGCTTTCCAAAATGTATTGCTTTTATAAGTCTGAATGTAAGAAGAGGGAAAGAAAATGGGTAATTATATGTCCTATCCTTTCTTATCAAAGCTGTGTATTGGAAAAGAGGGAGAAATTGAGAAAAATTGAGAATAAAATTTATTGCAGGTATTATGTCTCAGCTGAATGTCTTCCAACAGAGCTTCCTCTCCCAAACCTTGTGATTTCAAGGACTGTGTATGGTACATCTCATACGCAAGGATTTACTTGGGTTTCTTTTGCAATGCCAAAAAACAACATTTCCAGTCTAACTCAAATAGCAGGGTAGAAAGTGTGTTCAGTGATATCTCCCAGAACTACAGCTGCATTATAATTGTACAGAGAACTCAAAATGCCTGGCCTGCCTATAGAAACCAGCTGGTAAGAAGAGAAAAAAAGAGAAAAAATAAAAGAAGACAAAACCCTATTCCTACAGGAACCTGAAGGAAAACACAATTAGTGGATGTTCCCACTTACTCTCCAAAACCTGTAGCATTTGCTCCTTTCCCCAGGACATATATTAATGATCTCAAAGGGTTGTTTGCCTGTCACATTACACCCTGGAGCTTTGAATCAATATTTGCCTACTCCCGTCAACCTCAAGCTCTTAAAAGTCATGACTCCTACCCCAGGCCAGTATGTGATGAGCTCCTAAATCCTTACACACTTTTCCCAGCTTTTTCATTTTTCATTAGAAAGTTTAAATCATATTTTTAGATCACATTTCCCCTTGCCAGATATCCATACAGTATGTACAGTGCTGCCAGGTCTAAAATAGTGAGAACATTGAGAAATACTTTTAGAAGTTCTTTACAAGACCTCTACCTTGGAGTCCTACATGTGGTCAGGTCACAGTGGCTTTGTTTGGGTGTTACTTCTCCCTCACATCAATTCAGTGGCTTCAGCCCCACATCTACAACTTAACTTTGCAAGGAGCTCAGCCTAGAGAGCAAAAGCATGCACACACTCTCCAGCTATAGATCAGTTCATCCCCCAGCCTCACATCTGTTTCTTGACCTAGCATCACCCCTGCTCCTTCTGCAGCACTGGAGGCTCCATGTCTGATGGGGTCAGTCCAGGGAGGGTTCACTCTCTCCCCTCCTCCTTGTCCTGAAGGGGGCTCCTGCAGATGCCTTCTGATACAGATGAGAACAGCAGATATGGGGCAGCAAGGACCACAGTCCTTCTGAACTTCTGGGTCTTTTCCTCATCCCCTCTTCTTCCCTCCTGTGGGGTTAACATGGGGCTCTCCCTTCTCTACCTTCCTACATAAAATGTCATCAGCTCATGCACAAGAGGGAAGGAGCCCTGTGGGCTGCTCCCAGCAGCCTCACTGGATTCCCCATAGCTGCTGGGGACATGGCAGAGGCAGCTAGCCAGGACTGCAAAGCATGCAAGCACTGCGACATCTTACGCCACTGGGACCTCGGTGTCTCTTTGACATGCTCTAAGTACCAAGAAGTCTTAAAATGGGGCGACAATGTTTCTTCCCACTGGTCCTGGGCAGCGCCTGTCAGGCTGGACATACTCAATCACCCTAGCAGGAGACGTGTTGTGTCTAGAGCTGCTTTCCAGTGACTTCTTTTATCTCTTCAACTAGAAATTCCGTGGCACTCCCTTTAATAAAACATCCACTTTATCACTGTTTCTCATTATTTCCAGTGACCAAGCTGTAGTTAAACATGCAGCTATCAATTACAGTTACAGTTCACTACTCAAGTAGTAAAATCAGCTAATCAGTCTTTCACACTCGAGACAAGCTTGAAGTTTGGCCTTGATTTCTGAGACAGATTATCGTAGTTCTAAGTTGTAATTATACTATTCAGTTATAACTGGCTACTGGAGTTCCCCAGAACCAGCGAGAAAACGAGGAAATCTAAATGAAAACAATGCATTTTTAGGCACAGAGCATGGATCAAGTTCCTGGAATGAAAACTGTGCAGGATGACACGAGTGTTATGAGTTAAGGCATACCCAGTGGTTTATATGAAAGATCATGTACCTCATAGAAATTCAGTTTTGAGGTGAATGTGTGGTTTGGGTTTGAACTTTACATGGGATAGACTTTCACACTTTCCAATGCACTCAGCTCCTATACGTCTATTTTGTGGTAATCTACTGATTTTCTGATACTAAAGCCTTGCATAGGTAAAAAAGAGGAAGAATGGTTACTTGTTTATAAATCCTACCTAGTCAGCATTATGAAGCACAATGAATACTTCCACAGACTGTGTTTAAAATGAGGTCCAGCCTACTGAGTAAGGCTAAAGAAAGAATAGCAGGGGATAAGTGTTGCTGCATCCCAAATTGCGATGGCCTGTCCTATATTTTAGTATCTGGGAGGTTATGAAGAACATCCAGGCAGCGGAGGTCCCCATAAGATTCAGAGAAACAATGTGGAAGACCTACATGAAATCAGGATGAAACACTCAGGAGAGTTAGGAAACCTAAGAATCTAGAGACAGCTGCCTCAAATATGCTAGGGAGAGAATGGAGAAACAGGTTGTCTATGGAATAGTAACAGTTGAGAAGTTTGCTACTGCTGAGTGGAGTATCAATAGAACAAGATAAGGTGATGGTGAGAAACCCAGCAGGCTCTGGGTGATTGTCAGATCCAAACTAATGTACCAAGTGCACCCATTACTTCATATACATTTTGTACATACTCACATATTACCCTGCACCTCAAATTTCACTTTTGTTTGTCAAACACACACAAAAAGGAGCATGTTTCTCTTCCACCCCATTTCTGTAAACAGTAAATCAGACTTCAGAGAGCTCATAATTTTTGCTCATAGGAGTCAGACTAATAAAACCCATTCTGGATACAGTGCTGCATCCTTCCTTTTTGGATGCTCTTGTCCTGGAATGGAATCTGTTAAACAAGAGCCCTGGTCCCAGTGGGCACCTCCTGACAGTGACACACGCAGCAGCAGAGGTTCTAAGTGAGCAGGTGGTGTGGGAATGAATGGTATGTTGGGGAGGGAACCTAATAGAAAAATGTCATAGAACAAGGTAAAAATGAGAGCCCACCTCACTTCTAATCAGCTCCCAGATAGATGCCTAAGTGATTTAATGAGGACCGCCTGGATTTAAACGCTTAAGCTGTCCTTTTGGCTCTCAGTGGCCCACTTTCCATTATTTTAAAGATGTGCTGCAGTGATTATCCATTATTTACTTAATACCTTCTTGTTTAAAGCACTTGGCTAAGTGACAGGTCTAGGATGAAGGAATTTCTCTGAGTAGAGCAACAACGCAATAAGGGAGAGCAAAACTGTTCGCTGCTGCTGTCAAAGCTGTATCATCATCACAGCAAACAGAGAGAGACTTGTGATGCTGAGAGCAAAGCTAGGGTGTGACTGTGCTGCCCATGGGCAAGGGCAGCCCCCAGCCAAAGGTAATCCTTTATTCCATGTCTCAAACTTCAGGATGCTCATACAGCAGGAATTAACAGTCACTACTAAAATAAGAAACAGCGCTGGGAAGGCAGATAATCCCAGATCTCCAGCTGGGTTTACTTATACCTCTATTTCCTTACTTGTCCTCAATCCCACTCTCTCTTAACCTTCCCTGGTCAGATGAATGGTTACTTTCCTGCCCTGCACCCTGCGCCCTTTCTCCAGCATGGTTTTCAGGCTTTTCCTCTGCAATATAGGGGATAATGAATTTTAGCCCTTAAGCTGTGGATGGAAGAGAAACAAGGCAGCCAAGCCTCAGGTTAGTGTTCTGGTGACCAGTATTGAAGATGGAAATCACATTCTCCACAATCAGCTATGTGGATCTGGGCCTCAACTTCTTCCAATTGGCATGCACCCCTTTGATTTTCTAAGCTGAGGCTGCCTTTTAGGAAGTACCAATGCAGACACAAATTTTCTGAAGAGAGTGCTCTCCTCACCCGGTATTGTGTGCTATGTCTTTGACCAAGTCTTAACTTCAAAACTATATAGAATAGAAAATGAAATGAAAGACATTTCTTCCCTCTTTCCCCCCTGTTAAAATCAGTTTTCATTTTGTGTGTGTGTGTTTAGCTACATTTGATAAACCACGAACTAGGGGTCAGTGAAATATCGCCATGGTTTGACATAGATTTGACAAGTACTAACCGATCCTGACAAATTTCCCACCAGTTACATTCTAAGATACAGTTTTGCTGCTGGATGAAAGAACAGGACTTTGTGGGTGAGCAGATTTCTCAGATCAGCACAATGAGAAGAATGAAAAGGATCCCAACTAACACATGCACAGAAAACACTGGATTTTAAGTACAAAAGAAATGTGCCAAAAGATTGTACAAAAAGTTGCGATTCTGCAATTCTTGTACCCAATTTTAAGTGCAATGACTCATGTGCTTTCCTTTGATGCGACTAAACAATGTACAGAATAAAACCATGCTGTATTGCAGAGAATCTCAAACCAATCTGAAGAGTACAGGCAGTCCTGAGAAATTGTCTTCCCAAATAGCTTAAACTGGCCAGATAATTCAGTGTGAGTTTACCAAATCTGGCTTCGCTGACTCCAGTGTTTTGACTTTCTGGAGTTTCCATTATATCAAGTTCAACTACATTAAATGCAAACAAAGAAATATAAGGCATATTTAGCTGAGGTGACTTGACATATTTTCACATGTCAACCTTGACAGATAGGCAGTGCCTGAGAAGATGACACTTCCAAAGGAAGTACCTCAGCTTACTTAATTGTTGACACTTCACAGAGGCAATTAATATACCATGAACCATACAGGATGGAGAATGAAAAACTACAACATTTGGCAACAGTCCTTTCTAACTAGACCTAGAAGAGGCTTAGTGCTAAAGGGAGCTGTCAGGGCTGTGGCAAATTATATAGTGACACTCAATGGAAGAGAAGAAACCTGAAAAATAGATCAGTATTTAGTTACCAACTGTTCAGGCTCAGCTTCAGTGAAGTTAGTCGATACCTGAATCTGGTAAATACTTGGGGAGCAAAAGAATAAGCATTCAAATTCTGTCAACATTTCTGATTTTCAGAAATGCGGCCCACTCATCATCCTCCTCTGCTTCTGTTGGGTTTCTGGCTCTTTACTATCTCAAAAAAAAAACAAAACATCCTTTAGTTTATTTATTCATAACTTTTATGTTTCCATGAACTCCCATGTTCCCATGTTTTACGACTCAAATGTTTTCTGAAAATGTCTTTCAAAGTCATTTCGAACTGCTAAAGGAAGCAGAATTTTAAATTTGTCTGTGTGAACTAGCAGCATAGTGCCTTTACCCACCGAGATGCAGAAACAATATCATGCAGCCTAATATGTGGGAATACAAATAATTTGAATAATAAACATCAAATACTGAAAATATGATATGCATTTAAAACAAGGAAAGCAAATCTATTGCATGCTTTCAATACTACGAATCTGAGTGGGCTTTACTTTGGTTTGTGTCTCGTTTTTTCATATTTATCTTCCAAAATTACTTTCAACAAATGTTGAAAATCATTCATTTGTTGATACTCAATATAAAGACACAGTAAAATGTGTTTCATCTAGCAGAGAGAGAAAATACTTCTGATGACATTATCGTTTCTGTCGCACTTTAGAGGTCTATCTAAAATTCTATTTAAGTCTGATTGAATTCTGTTCCCCCTTTTCATTGTCAAAGTAATGGCTATTTAGGCAATGGAATACATTTTTCCATGCGTATGTTACCTGCAAGTTTTGCCTTTATGGCTTCTGAACTGATTGTCATAATGCATTTTATTGAGGCAAAAAGACCTAGGAAACTGTGAGACAACTCATATTTAAGTCATAGTCTTAATGATACCTGAAAGCGTATTCCCAGTATATGAATTTTAAATCTACCTAAATATTTGTACTCTATTATCGCACCCATCCTATCAGCATCAAAACAATGTCATGCAAAGTTATTATTTGAAGCTAATAGCTGCATTCAGTTATATAGCTTGCATAGAGAATACTTCTAGAGAATAGTTCACCCCAAATGATAAGAAATATACTAATTTTATAAATCCTTCTGAAATATTTTTTTAATATGAAAACCAAACAAAATTTGCTACATTAGTGACCTTCTTCAGGTGGAAGACTATTTCATTCCTTTCACTCTTAGTGTGGTAGTCAAAAAATACTATTTCAAGACAGCATCTGCACATGTTGGGGACTGCTGTCAAGGTCAGACCTTACTTTCACCTGAGTCCAATTGACTGAGAAATTGTTTCATTAACAGTAGTTTTGATGAAGACCTAATGCTGATGTTTTTAGTGTTTCCTAGAGATACTTTTTCTAGGCATGTTACGTGGCTGAAGACAAAAGGAGAATTCCCATTGGTTCAAATGTCCAGAAGGCCAGGTCCTGTATTCGTGGAAATAATAAATATATTAATAAAGTCAAAACTTCATAAGATTTGCAAAACCAAATCATTACAGCAATGTAAATTTTTCCATGTTCATTTTGAATCTAACTTCTGGGTGGCACAAACAAATTAGGCTAAAGATAAACCTAGCATGGGAATTAAATGTTTAATTTGTTTTTAAGAATGTGTTTTGCTTTTTGCAACTGGTGCATCGGTCACATAATAATGGAGGAGACTGAAATCTATAATCATAATAGCATCCTTGCATTAGACAGAAGTAATGCATGGGGAAAAATAGAAAATATTTCAGGCAGCAAATGTCATCTGCGTCCCCATACATGAATAGGCTCCAGCAGATTACACTTTTGTACAATCATTACTCAGTGCCTCAATCAGGCTACTCACATTTTAATTTCAATTTGATTTAATTGCAAGAATTGTAATTTCAAAAGAAATTATCAGTACAGAACCGAATAGTGTTTTATCTTAATTACAGCTTATTCTTCATGTCATCTATTCTTCTCTGAGGATGATGAATAATTGATTACATGATTTGCCACAATTATTTGATGAATAATCAATGGTATTCAATCAATTTGTTTAGCGATTGTACTTTGCAATTTACATTTAAGTAAAAGATTAAGATCTTCTGCACAGTTAAATAACGAACTATGTTTAAATAATGTTAAAACCGTAACACAGTGAAACAAAAGCTAATCAAGTTAGGGTTGTGATTTACACTTGTGCCATTATAGAGAAGGAAAAGGACAAATGGTATGGTGTATTATCCTTAACTTCTAACACCCTGGACTCTCAAAGTGTAATTTTTAAGTAAATTGGATTTAATAAGAACAAAAGATTCTTAAAAATTATCATGGATATTTACCCAAAATAATATTTATTGCCTTCATCAAGGTTTTTTTCTGTGCAGTACTTACAAATCTGGGTTGATCTTATGAAACGGCTAATCATCAAGTGTCTCAGTGGATGTGGGATCAGACATATGCTCTCAAAGCTGTTTCATCTCTCAAAGTGAGGACAACAGAAGGATGTTCAATCTCAGTATCTCCTGTCGAAACAAAAACACATCCAGGCAATGAAATGGACACGCTCCTGGGGAAAGCACTGTGAAAAATCCATAGTAGCATCATAAGCATACAGGTAGGAGTCTAATGCCTGCTGGGACTGGGAAATAGGTACGCAAAGGACCACTGGGTTTCTGAGTATTCGTTTGGAACTAGAGAAATGTTGGAGTTTTGCCACTATTTCTAGAATACAACTAGATTTATCTGCGACCACTTGGAATGCAGAGTACAATCATCCATGGCAGGAAAATGTGGGGATGTTTTCCAAGAGCTGCTCCAAATGTCACTGAAGCTAGCAGGACTGACTCCAGCTCCAGTGGGAGGGAGTACAAGGCACAGCAGTGGATCTCAGAAACAGGACTGGGATTACTTACATGCATTGTAAACTAAATTAAACGTTGTTCTTTTCATCTCAGTCAAGTTGCTGATTTTATCCTAGTCCATAGGAGATAACTAGGCTAGAAGAACCCAATGGAGAAGTCTGTGTTCAAAGGCAGGGTGTGAATCCTACATATAAGGATAACATTTTAGCCCAGGTACAGAGGACAGAGGGAGCTAAACAGCTAGAGAAAATGCCTGGGAATTAAATCCATAAGAAACCTTTTTCAGGAGGCCATGCAAGGATTCAGCTAGCTTTTAAACACAGATTAGGAAGGACCATATAGCTGAAAAGTTATGGAGCCTATGGATAAGGCCAAAACAAATCAAACAGGCAAAAATTAGCAGGAGAGCTCCCCAGAAGCAGCTGCTCTGTGCTTCACACCACAGAGAAAAGCTAAACCAAAATAGGACAGTACAAACTGACCTTGCAAAAACTTAAATCTTGCCCCTAATCTAACACAAATTTTGTTTTAAATACTCAGTAAAACCACCAGGCACCTGTGAGGTGGCCAATGTCAGTATAAAGACCGCTGTGCTTCATTCAAACTCTCCATCTCCTTTTTCTATTCCCCAATATTTAAACTGCTTTACTAATTAGACAGCATAGTCTGGCCTGTGTCTTCTGTATTGGCTGAATCCAACAGCTCTAGATCATAGGACCAGGGTTGGAAGGATCTCTGGGGTCCATCTGGTCCAGCCATCTCTTCCAAGCCAGGTTAGCCTCAAAGCTGTATCAGTGTTAGATCACATTTTTGCTGCCTAGCTGAGGAGCTATTTTTGTTCACATCCCTGCATTGCAGTCACATCTCTGTGTGTAAGATTTTTAATATGAAAACATAGGATACTTTAAAGATAATAAGAAATAAAATATTTCCTGGGAGAGGTAGGATTGGAAAAGAAGATCTGATGGATTGCTCTCGGCATTTTCTTCCAGGGTAACTGTGTGAATTTGCACGGTTGCTTTTCCCCCTTCTTCAAAATCACACAAAAACTTTTGATACTTCACATTTTTAAATTGCAAGTGTCTGCAACATAGGCCAAAAATTGCATTCCTCACATGAAATTCATAACTGTCAGCACTACTTTATAGAGAAAAATCCTAGAGTATATTTTAGATACATTTTTCATAAAATAGGTAACAGTCCCATGAAAGTTGCAGTTTTTGCTATGTTACAGTAACAAAGCTGGGACTCCAGCCCTTTTTAAACTTGCTTGCCAGTTGTTACTATGCTTTTTCTTGCATAAATATTTTGGAATATTTAATGGAAGTTTAAGATACATAAATAGATATTGTAATTCTGGGCCTTTTTAATGTGGAAGTTTTCCTTATACTCTCTCAGCCCACTCCAGTGGCAGAGTAGACCCTACCCTCCAATTATCCAGATTTCAGGTGGATGAAAAGTGCATGCAACTAAAAACTGCGAGCAGTCCCCGAGGGTTGAATGCAACCAACTCACAGGAGAACTGAGTAGCTCCCACAGAAAGTGCAAAATAAATCAGGGAGAATATTATAGATCCTTCCCCAGAACCTGCATTTGCAGGTTGTGATTTGTTACCTTATTTACTAGTGTTTGCAGGGTTACGGCTGTATTTGTTCTCTGGCACAAATAAAGTCCCCTAGGCTCAAGAAGAAAACTGTCTGTGCTGTTTCATCAGGACTATAGTTGGTAACTTGGACAGGCTTTATTTCTGTCCATGTTGTGAAAACCAGAGCTGGTTGTAACACTATTAAAGCAGTTATGCTGGATTTGCATTGCAGACATGGCTGTAGAATGGGTAAATTACATTACTGTAGCAAACTTCCCAGGCTGCCCATATGGTTAAGTAGAAACTAAGAGTTTATAGCTTAATTAGAGGCATTTGTAAGTGAGGCTCAGATAAACAGATACACAACTTAAAAGAGTGCATTGGCCATAAATTTTTTCATTCCAGATTCAGATCTGCTAATATATGACTGTAATCACCTTTGACAAGGTTATTTACAAGCCAAGCAATCTTATTTCCTATGCCTTTGGAACCTGAAGTGGGAAGAAATAAATGATGAAAATCATGCAATGCTGCCAGCACAGTCTAAACATATTTAGATCTTGTTGATAAGTGCTAGCTACACCAAGGCTTGCCTAGGTGGCAAGGGGGAACACAGGGTGAGGGACAAACAGCTTTGTAGCAGCAGCAGTACAAGCAGCTCTTTTGACATCTTTGTTGTCTTCTTCTTCACTTTCCCTTTAGAATGGGTTCATTTTTTCACACTTCTGCTTCACTCTTCATGTTTTTTCTTGAATTACAGGAGAAATCCAAATTCATTCTGATGGAAAGAGTGACAAAGGCTGCCTCTTCTGAGGCTTCACCTGTCTGTACAAGTGGTTTTGCTTTCTCTCTGAAAACTTCCACACAGATGCAATCTGGAAGTGCCTATTTTCAGGCTTGGTTAAGATTTAAAAGGAGTCGTTCAGCGGTGTGACAGTGATACTACATCCAGGATGCAAGGAAACGGCAGAGCAGAGCACCCAGGGTTAGAATTGCAGCTGAAGCTTCCAAGGTGATAAGTAGGTTTAACACTCTTGCCTGTAATAAAGTTGTAGCCTAGGGTTGTAGCCTGAAGTTGTTTCCTGTGTGTTACATCTTTATTTTTTCGGATACAGAAAGCTGATTTTGACCAGATTGGACTCCAGATAACAAACTTAGGCTGCTAACACAGGAAAACCAAATGTGCTTCAAAGCACGAAGGGAAAATTGCCATTTCCTAACCTCAGACAATTCCTATTTAGAGAGTCAAGAGAGACACTGCTAAACTACAGACCAAATTTCATCTTTATATTAAGCTTTCTCAGTTCCAAACACATTTGTTTCACCAAGTAGGGAGTTTCGAATCGCTGAGAAGTCTCTCTGGTAACATTATCTCACCTTCTGATTTGCATCTATAGAAAAAAAAACAGCATTGAGTTAAATGTCTCCATTGTTACTCATCCTTCTCTTGGATTTTTTCAGAGAGGATTAAAACACTATGAGACCACTAGAGAACCAGGAGCTCAGCTCACATTGCTTAAGGCGTGTGAGGTGTGAGCAACTGAAAGAAGGGCTGCCAACTCCAACAGCTTGAACAGACACCAAAAAACAAAGAGTGCCCCAAAGCGAAGGGATTTAAATGCATCCTTGGCTACTTCACCACCCTCAGAATGCCCACCACATCCTTTAATGCCTACCAAGTGCGTTTTGCCATGTTTTTTACATTAACACTGTAACTGGGGCTGCTTGGCTTTAGCCACATGCCCACCGTTGCCAGCCCTCCCAGAGAGCATTTCTAAGCTGCTCCGCACAGCCAGGAGGGCAAAGGCTGATGGCAGGGGCTAAGGTCTAATGGTGACGACGACCCTGCTCCCAGTTCTCTTTAGCAGCGCCCCGGGCGCGATGGATGGGGAAGTGCAGCCCGCCACCAACACCGTGGCCCGCATAGCCGGCCGGAGCGGGCTCCATCGCCCACCTTCGCACGGACTAGCAAGGCAAGTCTTTAATTAACTTCCCCTCCCCTGCTCCCTCGGGGAGGAGAAGCCAGCGACTGCCCCCATTGCTCATCCGAGCGGAGTAAAAGGAGGGGTCCCTGCCTGCCCCAAGCTGGGGGTCAATGGCATTGCCGCAAGTCCCCCCGTGCCCACCGGCACCTCCGCACATCCCCACGGGCGCGGCCTGGCCGGGCCCCGCCCCGACGGGTTTTCAGGGCGGCCGGCCGGCCCCGGCCCGACGGCGATTGGCGGGCGCTGCGGGCGGCAGCCAATGGGCGCGGCGGGACGCGCATGTCGCCGTCCGGGCGCGGGGCGGTGGAGCCCCATTAGGGCGGGGAGCGGGCGCGGGGCTCGGCCACTCGCGGCGGGGCGGTGCAGCGCAGCGCGGGGCCGCGCAGGAGGCTCCGGGCTGACCGTGCCCTCCGCGGCGCTGCCCGGGATGAGCGTCTCTCGCCGGCGCTGACTCCGTGGGGGCCGAGCTGCGCACCCGCCTCCGCCGCTGTGGATGTGACGGACCCTGCCGCCTCCGCCGCCCCGGAGTGCATCGCTGTGGTTCGGACGCGCTGCGGGGAGGGTAAGTGGCGGTTCCTCAGGATGGGGGACACTGGCGGTCAGGCTGCAGCGGCGCTGCGGGAGCTCGGCGGGGTTTGACTGGGCGACGTCCGCAGCCGGGACCGGAGCCTTTCCTGCGGCATCCCGCTCTACGGCGGGGGTCCTGCGCCCCTGCCGCGGTTGCATCGCCGGCGCGGCTCTTTACCCAGCGTGGGCATTCTTCAGCGCCGTCCTGCGCGGAGTTGTTGGACGTGGGCTGTGGGCTCGGGGGCGGGGAGGTCCTGCCGATCCCCGCGGCGGCTGTCGGGGGCGGATGGGGGGTGCAGCGCCGGCTCGGTGAGGCGGGCTGGTGCCGCCGGTCTGAGCGAGGTTCCAGATGCGGAAGCTCAGCTGTTGCCTGTCACTGGGGTGACAACTGGCCTCCCTCTGGCAGCCTTCGCTTTCTCCACTGTCACCGGCGGAGTGTCCGCGCCTGGGCGCCGAGCCGGCGGAAGGGTGCGGGGAACGGGACGACCTCGGTCTTTCATCGCGGCGGTATCTTTTGGGCTCAGCGCTGTGAGCGCGTTGTGTTACTGGGGGGTGAGCATCGCTCGTGTCCTTCTCCCCCCCCCCATCGGCTGAGAGGCAGCCGGACCCATCCCGAGTTTGTCTTTCTCCTGCCTCAGTGAAGAGAGCTCTGGAAGGGCGGCGGGCACTCCCTGAGCCCCTTCTCCCAGGGAATGTATTCCCATCGAGGGGTTTCAAACTCCAGCCCTCACCATCTATCATCCGGGCCAGGTCCTGGGCGCCTTCGCCTTGGTGCGAGCCGCGGGCGGCCGGGTCTGGC